TCACACTTACAACCCATTCGTAAACAACGTTACGATTTAATTAGGTTTCAAAAAGTTTGCCTTTTTTTGCTACAAATGAATGAAACTTTTGTTGAGTTAATTACCATTAAATTGTTGTTATATTTATCATTAATGACAATAAATAGTAATTAATTAGTTTTAAAAACTATTTATTTAATCATAAAACTTATTAATATAGTTAAAATTGATTTTAATTGATATAAAATGGTAAAATTATAAATGTAATTGTTTGCGTGTGAATGCAATTTACAAATTACAGTTATTATGATTTGCAGTTATATTAAATTCAAACATATTTTACTTATACTTAATAATTATGTGAATTAACAAATGGTTAGTTTGTTTGTGTTATTTTGAATACCCATATAATTGTAATTACTGTTATATATCTGTACACAAATGTTAACATTTGTAATTCATTTGATTGCCTGTAAAAGTAAGTAAATAGTTATATAATTACAACAAATTACAATTAAAACTAATTATAAAAATTAAATGCCATTTGATTTAAACTGACAGTTATATCGGGAATGTATGTGGAAATCGGTTCCTATCCTAACATAACGGCCGAAGACTGCGGTCTCCGATATGTGACGAAAAAACATGAAATCAATTATATTCCCAAATGTTTTGCAAATCACGTCCAAAACCAGACAATTGACGATATATTTGGTTCATTTGAGGCAAAGTCGGCGCAAACAGTGGCCACAAATCGGATATACGGCGGTCGGGACGTGGAGTACGCGGAGTCGCCGTCCACTGTATTAATTAAATACGATTCGCCGACAGATAACCACTACTACACCTGCACCGGGAGTCTCATCAATGAACGCTGGGTTGTAACGGCAGCCCATTGTAACTTCAAGTAACCATTGATCACTTAATTAACCACTTAATTAAATTTGTATTAAATTTATAAAACCTTTATTGTTCGCAAAAAGTTTCACAACAAAAGCCAATATATTTTCCCGAATTCACGTATTTGTGGGCAATAACTATCACCGCGAAAGTGGACTCACTATTAGCGTCAACGAGAGCCGAATGTTTCGGCACCAGATGTGGGCGTCGGGTGTCCGGCGCTATGACATCGCCCTCTATATGCTGAACAGAGCGGTCGATCTGAAGCGGACCAACTCTATCCACTTCTTGGCGAACACTATATGTCTGCCCAAACAGCGGGACCATCACTGGGGGCTCAACGAAGAGCTCGAGTCGGCCACCATTTACGGCTGGGGAGTCAAGTACTGGACGCCCGACCGTTACGTACCCGCAGAGCACTTACAGATGGGCGCAGTTGTGCTGCAAAACGACCCAAATATGTGCGAATGGCTGCTCTGTTCGCGGATAGATTACGCGCCCCCAGCCGTCCAACCGAGCCTTTCCCGCACATGTCCTGTACGTCCACTTCTGTACCAATAGTTTAGTTGTTTTTTCTGTTAATTTACTTAAATTTATGGTCAATTTAAAGGGCGATTCGGGCGGACCATTGATTCAGTACACGGACGCACAGGGATCCCGGGGTGTGCTCATCGGCATAACCAATATAGACACTGAAGAGGGCATACTCTGTAGTGAACACAATTACAAACTCTTTTGGACACCCGTTGCCATTCATGTCGATTGGATTATCAATTCAATCAAAACATACCGCGTGTTAGACAGTCTCAACGTTACCATTGGCTGATTGTAATCGTATTTGTTTTAATAGTTGTCTTAATATATTGTATGCATTTTTGTTTGTTATTCAAAGTTTTAAATGTTTTATTTAATCTGGTTTTGTATGTATAATGCTTTTCAATTGTTATTTTCAATTAATTTTAACGTTATTATCAATAAATTCATTGTCAACACAAACTTTTTCTTAACTTTTAAAACTTGATATAAAATCAAACAAATCGTTATTTTATAGTACTTGATAGAGATATATTAATTAACCATGCTAACTAAACACATGGTAACTGATATAATCTACTTTTAATCAGTAACTAAATAAAATCACCATGGTACCACTTTAACCAGTAATCAAGATTACTTAAGCTAAGGGTGTGTACTGTACTCTCCTATCAAATAAAGTGCATTAAATATTACGATAAAACACTTTTTATTCAATACAACAGTAAAAGTGATCACAAAAATAGCATTGAATTCAATACAAAAGTACAAAAAAAGTTTTGTATTGTATGGAAAAGTATTAGCCGTTGAATACAGTCAACAATCGCTATAGAGATGACAAATAATACAATCACCACACGATATGTGCAGTGATTTTGATTGGCTTTTTGGACACTCATTATCAGCACTGCATTCAAAATACCAAAAGCGAGCGTTAAGTCAATGACAAACACAACACAGAGTTTAACAATCAATACAATACCTCTTCGTTTTGCATTACCTGTGCGTCCAGTCATATGACTGACCCATACATGTGACTCATAATGTGTGACCTTTACATACATGCTTTAATCCCATTATAGGTCTCCCCCTATAATACCTGTTCCGTACAGACAGTCAGTGTGTGATTGAGTGAAGTATAAGACACATGACATTAGAGGTCCAAACATCACATCTCAGTGTTTGATCCGCACTTCTTGTGTCCCAAATGTTTGCGCCGACGATAACAGCGATGAACCGATTGATTGGTCGGACGGATAGCCCCTCCGCACACGTGACCCAACCCAAGGCTCCCGAAGACGTGGACATTAATCAGGGATATTATGTCCACTCGACTAAACTCGGCGAAGGTATGTGTGATTGCATCTGCGAGAGATCACCGCATCTGATCCATCGCTCAGTTGACTCACGCGTTGCTTACGCTATAACTGTTAGGCGGCTTCGGAACCGTACGACTGGCCACTCATTACAAGACTAATCAGAAGGTGGCCATCAAGAAGATGAACAAATTGAAGTTAGGGGTGAGTGTCTGTGTGTGGTCTTCGGCGGCCCGTTATTGTCTCATTTAGTGTTATCCTAATCGATGGTATGAATGATAGGGCGATCTGTTCCGCGTCAAGACAGAGATCAGCGCTTTGAAAGTGTTGAATCACGACAATATCGCCCAACTATTGCAAGTGATTGAAACTCAAGACACTATCTATTTAGTTCTGGAGGTAACTGATCCCTACATCTTAGTTATTGAATGTTGATATGACTTGTAATTTAATGTCCTGAACCCCCTCCCCCCCCCCTCTATAGTACTGCAGTGGTGGCGAACTCTTTGATTATCTCATCTCAAAGCAGAG